AAAACAAAAAAAAAAATAAAAAAAAAAAAAAAAAAGTCGAAAAAAAAAAAAAAAAAAAAAAAAAAAAAAAAAAAAAAAATAATACAAAAAATTATTTTGGAATCTTGTTTGATGAAAGAATTTTTATTTAAAAATTTTATATTTGAAACCAACTTTTAAAATTTGAGAACATTAATATGAAAAAAAATATTTTCTATTGAGAACATTATTATTTTTTTTTTTTTTTTTTAGTGATTTCTATTTGGTCAAAACTTTATTGCTAATTTATTAAATATTACAATTTTTTCAGGATTTACAATAAGAATATAACTAGCCACATGTGCACTTTTGGTGTCTAATTTAAGTAGTCTGTAACTAAGTTATTCTACTAACCTAGAGTTCTACACTAGCTGCCATACCTACAGCCCAAACTATGGGGTTGTCTATTTAAACCCTCTGATCATACCTCTCTACTTTTATAAATAGAAAACCCTAATAATCTAGGCATATACAACCATTAGGACTACTTTATTCTTGAAGGTAATCCTGGCTATGCACAGTATATGTCCCACCTATATACATCTGGTTAGTCTTAATTAGTAACTTATTCATAATACTTGGGGTTGGGACATACCCATTTTTTATAAACCCTACTGTTACTAATCACCCTTGTTTGGTTCACTAAACCCCAGTACCACCTCTATATAGTTTTTATACTCTATGTCCTTGGTTTCAACAGTCTACCAATCTAGTTAGCCTAGTAAGGTTGGTCTTGCTGAGGCTTTATGTACCTCTTGGCACCCTTTTCTTAGTACATGCTTTCAGAGTACATGTTCTTTTTCTCTAGTATGACTCTGGTAGCCAGGTTGGTGAACTCTAAACCTATAAGGATTTTTTGCTGACCATTTTTACTAATTTTCTAGAGCAATTCAATTCCATTTTAGGGTGCTGTTAAAAGTCTAGTTACTTTCAAACTTGGGTCTTGCCAAGCTGGTTTCAGTTCTCTTTGTCAGTTTTCTACAGTTCTAAGAACTTATCGTGAGTTTGCACTACTAATACCAGTTTGTATTTCTTTGTAAAATACAAATGCCCCAGAATCTTTCAATACTATATTGGTGTAACTGGAGTTACTGGTATATAACCCAACTTATCGATGAAGATCTATTACCATAATACAAAAGATTTTGCCCAAAGTATCGCTAGTGGGATTCAAACTTTATATCTTTGAATTAAACTTGCTTGGGGTGCGACAACTTATTCACTTTGCTACATTGTCATACTCTTTGAACATTATTTTTTTTTTGAGAACAATAAAATAAATTTTATGCTTATTGAGAACATAAATTAAAATTTAAATTTCACACACTAGTAACTATAATAATAAGTAGAATTAAAAATATTACTGTTGATTGGGCTTATTTCATAATACATTTTGGAGATAAGGAATTTGGAACTATGAATCAAATAAAGAAACAAATAGGTATGTCTGGTAACTTGCATTTCATGAAAAAAACTTTTATTTATATAGTTCAAAATAAAATTAATAATAAAAGTGATCTATATAAGTAAAATCATTCAGAAATAAATTGAGCTTTTAACTATTTTTTTTAAAAAACTACATAGCCTATTTTAAATTGAAATAAATACTCATTATTCTCTAATTGAGATGAATAACTTCTGAGTCAAATGGGTCGAAATTGATAAATTTTGTCTAAAATTTATTAACAAACTAGCAATCTATGTACTAAATAAAATCCCCAAACTATAATTTTGCTATAACATAGTTAACTAGTATTATTGCTTGATACATATTTTACTTAAACTAAAATGGATGAGGTTGCATAAGCTTATTAAAAATTTCTCAGACATTAATACATTTAAATAGCATTAAATATTTGTAATAATAGGTATTTGTATTATGATTTAGATAAACAACATATCATGTATCGATTTTAGATATAATTTAACTAAATTCTTCAAATCTATAAATTTTAAAAGGTTATTAATTGCTATAAAAAGTTGATAATCATTTAAATTTCATAACTTTAAATATCTTTTAAGGCTGACTTTTTAACATCAGTCAATTTCATATTAGACAAAGATAGAAAGTAAAACTGGAATAATATAAGTCACTTTTAATAACTCAAAATAATCAATGTAAATATATAAAGTTATTATTAAAACAGCTTTATATCTTATGATTAGAAGCAAACTATTATATAATAAATTAAAGCAAATGATATCAAAGGATATTTGAAATAGTATCTCAATATAAGAAAAAGAAAAATTGATAAAGATTTCTTACTTCAAGGAATAAACCACAAAAAAAATTATAATCTAGGATTTAGATATAGAAATTTTTTGATAGCTTAGAAAAAAATTACTATAGTTGAATCTTTCTAAGTGAATATTGCATAAACACATATTTTTATATAATTTTATTTAAAAATACATTTGAGAATTTTCTTATTGACTATTTGGTTTACTAATAATTTATAACCTGAAATTTTTTTGAGTATCATATATCTTTCTAGTATACATTTTTTGAGTATGTACTTTGCAAAAACCTTTAATTTTTACTAAATATATTTATTGTATAATAGTCATATAATTGTTATATGGGTAAGTCAATAAAAATCAAGCAAAGTTTTATAATAAAAATTTTTTATAACTTTAAAAAGAATAACTTGACAAAAACTTAACTAAATTTAATAAATTTTTTTTTAAATAGTCATATAATTATTATATGAGGTAAGTCAATAAAAATCAATAAAATTTTTTATAATAAAAATTTTTTATAACTTTAAACAAGAATAACTTGACAATAACTTAACCAAATTTAATAAAAATTTTTTTAAATAATTTTTACATACTTGTAAAATTAATTTTAAAAAAATTTTATTAAATTTAATCAAGTTTTTGTTAAATTATTCTTGTTTAAAATTTTAAAAAAATTTATTAAAAAATATTTGCTTGGTTTCTATTAACTCAATCCCATATATTTAAATATTATTTTTTTAAAAAAATACAGTCTAACCTCTATATAATCACCAGCTCGGGAAACAAAAACCTGGTGATTATAAAAAGTTGTGACTATATAAAGGTCAAATTGTGCATGTTTTTATATTAGCTTGTTAAAAAATAGTGTGATTATATTAAGGTTGTGACTATATCAAGAGTGGCTATTACGAGGTTAGACTGTATATGAGTGCCGTCAAGGGAAAACCTACATGCTGGCTTTCAATTATATTTTGTGTGCAGTTAGTCGTCTATGGAAAATCTATTATAATAATAGATTTTCCATAGACGACTAACTGTACACAAAATATAATTAAAAGCCAGCATGTGGGTTTTCCCTTGACGGCACTCATGTACAACATGTACTATTTATTCTCCCGTTTTATTAATTGACGGCAGGAGGCTATTTCTCTATTGAGTTTGAATTAAGTTGTGCCCAAAAATAATAGCGAAAACCCCGTAATGAACAATTAGGAAACAGGGAATAACTATTACTTATTTTTTAAAAGTTTATTAGCTAATAACAAGCTGCTAAAAAGTTGTAAGTTAATAGAATATAAATATATTGACAATATTTTAACAATGTTTAAATTAGTTTTATATTTTAACTATATTATAAATATATTTATCAAAATACATAGGCTTCTGTAAGTAAAGCCTAAAGTCTGGTTTCCCCACGATGCTACTCATTAAACTATTGGAATACAGTCTAACTTCTATATAGTCACCAGCTTGGGAACAAGAACCTGGTGATTATAAAAAGTTGTGACTATATAAAGGTCAAATTGTGCATGTTTTTATATTACGGTTGTGACTATATCAAGAGTGACTATGACGAGGTTAGACTGTATTTTACTCGCATCCAACAAAATTGGTGTCCACATCTGGGCCTTCACATATCATGTGATTACATTACCATTTTTCTCAGTTCTAATCTTACACTTTGGACATTATTTTAGCTGAGTTACGAAGGATTTTCGGCATTTTTTCTAAGTATTTCTAATCTTCTTCGTTCTTCCTCTTGCCGCCTGAGCTCTTCTTCTCGTCGTATACGTTCTTCTTCTTCCCTTCGCCCACGTACTTCTTCTCTTCGCCTACGTTCTTCTTCTTCTTCTTCTTCTTCTATTATTAGTCTGCGTTGTTCTTCTTCAATTAATATAAGTTCTTCCTCTTCTCTTAGTCTGCGCTCTTCTTCTTCTTCTATTATTAGTTTGCGTTGTTCTTCTTCAATTAATCTAAGTTCTTCTTCTCTTATTAGTCTAAGTTCTTCTTTTCTTATTAGTCTGCATCGTTCTTCTTCTATTAATCTAAGTTCTTCCTGTTCTCTGCATTTTTCGCACTCAACATCAATTAGAAGTCTGTGCACAACACAGGTCATTTTCCCACAAGAATTGCATATCATTACTGGAGCACCTTTAAGAAAATAGAATTTAAAGTAAGGAGATTAATAATGTCGATAAAAATATTTAATTAGATGTTCAAAATAATTTACCTTCTTGGTAATGGTCCTGTCCTGATCCGCAATTCGGATTTAAGCACCATTGAAAAGTATCAATTTGCGATAATGCAATATTTAGCAAGAATTTTTCATACCTACAATAAAAATGTAAAAGCTTTATTTATTCTTTTTTTTTTTTTTCTAAAAAACAGTAAAAATGATTCGTATACAATGAGATCGAATAAACACACCGTTTAAATGTCTCTTCACTTGCGAATTCTTTTATATCTTTCTGATTTAATATTTCGTTACATCCATCTTCTGGACATTTAATTTTAACATTCTCATTATCTTCATGACGATTATTTTCAGAATATAAAATTTTAATACTTTCTTTATTAAATTCACGCTCAATATGTTCACCTACACAATTACGACATATAGAAATATCATGACAACATTGGTCTGTAATATTCAAAAAGACATTAATTTCAAGACTCTTTAAACATTTAGAGCAATCCTTCTTTCTGGTTATTTGTCTACGTTCTTCTTCAAATAGCATTCGTTCTTTTCTTAAAAGTCTGCGTTCTTTTTCTAGTAATTTACGTTCTTCTTCCAGTCTTCTACGTTCTTCCTCTTGTTGTCTACGTTTACGTTCTTCCTCATATTGTTTACGTTCTTCTTCTAGCAATCTAAGTTCTTCTTCTAATTGTCTGCGTTCTTCATTCAATACTAAGCTATTTTCTTCTGTTGAATTATTCTGAGAGGTACTTTCAATTGTAGCATCATGAAAAAAGAATTCTTTAGGACAACCCTCATCATATAAATATTCATAACTGCTATCAGCCCAAAAAGTAGAATCTTCAACATCAAACCGCGCGAGAAATTCAAGGTGTAATGGTATATTAGGAACTTTAAAAGTAGAAATTTCAAAATAATATAATTCTTGATTATTAGGAAGAGCAGATGATTTTAATGCAGTTACGCTATCGCCTGTGTCCCAAGAATTAACAGTGTATTCTATTATCACTATTTTCTCTTTGTCTTTACTGGAATACTGCACAATAACTTGCCCGTAAAGATTAATAAATCCATCACTTTCATTTTCATCAGTAACCTTTATAGATTTTAAAAATATTTTATCAGACATTTGAGAAAATTCGTTTTTATATGAGAAGATATATTAATATTTGTAATGTTTTTTTTTTTTTTTTTTAAATAAAGATATTTATAAAAATTTATTTAATTTTACTAAAGTATATAAATGCCAAGTCAATTAATTTTTTTTATGCATGGGAGAATTCTAATTTAGGCAAGCCGGGCGGAATCAAGATTGGAAATTATAAAGGTCCAAAAATTCCGAAGAGAAAATAAAAGACGAGCAAGGTCAAGCCGATAATTTCCGATTAAAAAAAATTATTAAAATTTGCTATATACGTATACGTTCCATTTTTTCGTCCCTCCCCTATGCTCTCCAGCCAAAATCATATATGTATATAGTATTTGGTGTAACAATTTATATTCCTGTATGTATGTTTTATTTGGTGTAACGATGCATATTTGTAACATAATTTATTTTCGTTCTTTGTTTCTTGTTACCTACGTAGCTAATATAATATACGTACGTACGTACAAGAATCGAGTAACACCGCATACTATCAGCTAAATACAATAAATAGAAAACAATACTACTGTATTACATATCATTACATGATATATTAAAGAAACCTGTATACTACCACTATTGCTACTGCATTATTATGAAACATTCAGATATCTTACGAATAGATTAGTCACGCAACAAAAATTGACCAAAATTACGGATCGGAATGGGATCAATTAACACTACTACTACCTAAAACAACACTCTAAATGGTTAAATCTTATCCAAACCCTAATATTGGCATGCTACGATAAGTGATGTGGAAGACTTGGTCTGAGCTATTAGAATCAAATAGCTCTCTAGATTACGTCACGAAGCTCTAATTCGAGATCACGGGATTACAGTAGGCTACTAATTCTATACAAATTTGACTTTTCGGGGAGGAATTTATAGAGCAAACACCTTTATAACGTTGAGCTCTAATTGAGTTCTGAACTCTATCTGAGTTATCTTTATTAGTATTACGGGTGAAAAGCTTCACTTTATCTATTTAATTTTACAGAATACTTTGAATCTAATTTATTCTTGTTATCCTAATTATTCATTGAATATCTTCTTATTCCCTTTATCATCTAGATACCAGGTTTTCAACGAATTCAAGAATTTGTATCATTTTCTGGATGGTCAATCTTGCCATTTACAACGCGCATGGACGATATTTGAGTAATTTAACTAATTTTTTGGAAAATCAAATTAACCCCGGTCCGCTATTACGCGCGAATACAGTAAGGCCTGAAAGCTTTCATTTGTTTCTCTCAGCTCCAGATACGTGTAATCGTTCATCACTATGGGGCATTAATCTTGAATATTTTATTTTACTAATTTTTACAAGTTAAGCTTTGATCAACAATAACTCGTGTCATAGTTATCCAATTTGGTGACTTAATGAGATAAAATTATCATAATTGGATCACGAAAAATTGGTGGTGGATTTTCTATAGTATAGATAGGCAATATAGAAATATAATATAAAAAACCACTACCATAACCCTAACCTAACCTTAATTTAAACTAAACTATAAACTATAACCTTCAACCTAACCATAACTATTTATAAATTTGC